ACAGCAAAATAGAATGTAAGAACCCTCAAAATGTTATGAAATTCATATTTGTTACTAGAGCATGAAACATCCATTCTGATTGATTTTAAAATATATTTAATTCATATATATTCATATATATTCCTCTACTATAACTAATTTTCTTTAAAATGTTTAAAATGTTAAATTTAACATGCATTTCTGTGCTTTTTTTTTTTTTTTTTACAGTACTATAAAAATGCCACCTGATACTATATGGGTTCCTTTCCCTCATTCTCCTTCTCTCCCTAAAAAGACTTCCCCCAAATCTAATACTTTTATTTCCCCCACTATGCTTTCTACCAAGCAAAGCCTCACAGTTAGACCACTGATCCCACCATTCACAAAAATTTCTTTTTCGGGAACTCTCTCCACATCTCCCACTAGAAAGCCTCTCTCTGAAACTTCTACCACATCTAATACTGAAACTTCTGTGTCTTCCACCAGTGTTACCACTACACTTTCCTTTTCGGAGTCTCTTGCTCAACCTACCATGCCAACTTTTCCTTCCATAGCTTCTAGTAAATCTGTCACTACTTCCACACCTGCAACAAAATCTGTCACTAATGCTGCTTTCTCAATTAAATCTGATGCTGGATATCTTAGCAAGCCTATTACAATAATTTCTCCTTCTATAGGATTCACTAAACATTCTGCAGTTTCTTCTTCTGAGCTTCCCCCCAAACCTCCAATAGCAATTCCCCCCTCTGAGACTACCACCAAATCTGTTGTACAAGTTTACCCTGCTACATATTCAACCCAACCTATTTCTGGTAACAAAAATGTTACTACAGCACCTATTCTTCCCCTTACTCCTTTCACAATAACTTTGACCCCTACTGTTAGTCCTGTCAACCATTCTGTCTCAGCTTCTCATCCTCATTCTACTGCTGATGGCCATGGTAGCCTGCCTAATGGGAGCACAGGTAAATATGACAAGTAAAATGATTTTTTTTTTTTTTAATTTGAATGCCATATACTGAATTTGCTTTTGAACTTTATTAAATAAGATTATATATCTGAGCTGTAACTTTGCCATTACTGTGAAAAGCCTGAGAAAACTCTCATGAGGTGTATATTTATTTTAAAATACATTCTGATGCCTTTGGCCATGATGAGTGATACCTCACCCTACAAATTGGTTGGCAACTGTGATAGATAGGTGCTGTGCTAAGTTCCCAACAGGCACCTTTGGCAGAAAACATTAAGCTACTATTTAAAATATTGCAAGTCAATGTTGTATCTTCCTTAAAATATTGTTATTGATTAGGAATATTCTTAGTGGCTATGTATTTTCCTGTGAAGGTTGTATGCATCTTTACAAGCTTCTTTTCAAATTGCTGATCTGATCTTGATTTTATTCTACTTTCAGGCATCCAGTGGCTAAAAATCCAAAGTAATAGGTTATTTAACATCACTAATGGTCTGATGGGAGAAACTTTGTAATCAATAAAAAGTGGGATTAATGCTGGCCATTTGAAACCTTGCTTTATGTTTTCATAAGATTCAAAGTATTGCAACCTTGCGATGTAGCTGATAGGGAGAAAAAGGGATTCTGTCTCACATAACATGTTGAGAGACGTTGCAAGTTGTGATAAGATTTGTTGATCAAGAGAGTTGATTAATTTTTCTGCTTCTCAAAGCTTACTTCATTTGTTGAACACAATGTTTAAATAAATGCACAACTTTTCTTTTGTCACAGGAAAGATACTGTCAGCTACCACATACATGACTTCTGTATATACCACCATTAATATCACCACAGCTGAGCAAGTCTTATCCAAAATTGAAAATGACTTAGCAGCTGGAAAAGTAGAACCAAAAGATGTAGAAAGGATGGTTAGTGAGGTTAGCAAAGTCCTGACTGCTTCTCAACCATTACCACCCCGAATTTCGAACAGGTAGGTCATTCTGGCAATAGATTAAAGATGTATTGTATTGACTGTCTTGATAAATTGGCTTCAGCAAGTTTAATTTTTTCATAATCATAATCCAAAAGAATATTTCCTGTTCTTTAATATACAAAATGGAAGGATTATCGTTCTAGTGTTACCAGTTCTACTATAATATAATGCCATAGAAAACAGTGGGGTTTTTTTGTGTTGTGCTTACAACAAGTAAGCACAGTCAGCTGTATTTTACACTATGCTTGGATTGCTGCTCCATAACCACAACTTGCCTGAGAATTTCGGGTGTATGTGCTTGGTAATACTAAGTATCTCTTTTTCTTAACAGAATTATAAAACTGGTGGATTACATTGGCTTAAAACTGAACTTTTCAGCAACGTCTGCTGATTTTGCCTCCCCTTCCTTGGCTCTGGCAGTTGTCAAAACCAATAGCATCCACTCCAACCAAATGTCTTTTGCTGTCCAGGACTCAGCTGATCTCCAGGTTAAACACTGATAATTCTACATACTTACAAATTCTTATTTATTTTAAGTATTTATGGTTTTATATTTATATGTAACATGAGTTTGTTCTGTGTTTATATCGCAATTTCAGGATCTTTTGTTCGTGTTAGTTTCAGGGAAAAAATACTTTGTTTTTGAAACCCTCCGTAGTTTTTCCTTTCATTTGTATTATGGTGTAAATAAGCAACGGACACAGCAGAAACTGGCATTCGACTAATACCTGTTAGAAAGGGTACAGCCAGAACACTGGAATGGACAGAGTGCTTGGCAGAATAACTTTGCCTCAAAAACCCTGAATTGTGAGTCATTTGATCAGCCACCCTGACAGTGCTGCAGTTTGTGAAGGAGTGTTGCCAGATGGCTTCATCTGTTAGAAGGATATTAATTGGAGAGCATTCCAGGAAAGAACTATTATGTTGCTTGGATAATGACATTCATACATTTGTCACTCATGACTAGTTGGTCTTGCCAAGAAAGAAGTGCTTAGAAAGTTTGGATCCACTTTGTTTCACTCAAAACCTCCCTCCTGGTTGCGGAAATAAGAATTTGGACAACAGCAGCCTTGGAAGCTTAAGCAAGGAGAGATGGAAAGTTCTGGACAAATTTTGGCACATTCTGTCCTCTCAGAGAAGGAAATCTCTTAATCTAGCATGAGCCATAAGTAGTACCGGAACTGTTCTGTGATACTGAAAATGATATGAAATGTTAACATTTGAGTTCTTTTCTATTTTCTTAGCAATATGTGGTGCGTGAATGTGAGGTGACTAGGAGGTGGTAGTGCTGAAAAACAGCTATTTGCTAAGTAATGATTTTCTGGAAATCTCATGGCACTGGCAATGAAATGCCGAGAATTTTCAACAAATATCATTTAGTGCAAATCGGAGCAACAGGAATGCTTTCGTGGAATTGATTTGGGATTTCTTTGGTGGCTGCCTAAATCAGTGATCTCCAAAGTTGGGTGTGAGTACCCCAGGGTATGCACATGACAGTCCATTGGGGTGCAGGAAGAAAATATGTTTTATATGATTAATAAAATATATATATATT